GAGCGAGAAAGACCGAGTACACCCAAGCCCTTCCAGAGAGGGGGCGTGGTCAGACACAGCTCATTTACATATTTAAAGGTACAGACACAGAAACAGCCTGTTCTGAGCAGGGCTGAAATAGAGGGGTTTATAGACATGATCAAATACAGGATCAGAGTGGATTTAGGACAAGAAACTTCATACACATGTTTTGAGGAGCTCTGAGACTTATTTACACCGAAGAAGAGGAGGAGGATATGTCACCTTTAACGGGGGATGGGTTTACATTTCCTTTGGCTTTAACCAAACAATGTTATTGTTTAAGTTCTCAAATGGAAAAGTGTCAGAAGTAGATGACTCACCTTCAACATTTAGATGAATCTTCTTCAGTCCGGCTCTGGAAATTCCATCTTTAGATTTCAGTCCACACCAGTAGTCGCCCAGATGCTGCGTGGACACGTTACTGATGGACACGATTAAACCTGTTATATTGAGACTGAACGTCCCGTTTGACCTCAGAGGAGGTTCTGAAAGAATGTCCTCACAGATGAAGCCGTTGTCTTTGCAGAAAAACTTGACATTTGACTTGTTTGGATATTCACACGTGATGGTGGTTTTAGCCGTTTTATATGCAATCTGATTAAATGGAGTCTCGTAAGAATCCTCACCTGCAAACAACAGAAAAATTAAACATGCAAATGTGTCAGTCTTTAAAGGCATGTTTTACCTCAGTAAACATTTTCTCTCCATGACCTTAATCTCTAGTCAAGTCAAGTCATTTTAAAAACTGTCTTATTTTGTGTAAAATTGTAATGTGGAAAGGAATGCTTTAAGCCAAGTCCTGGTGCGGACCAAACCTGGAAGTTGGTCTGGTAGCTAAGGAGGTGCTGGTACCTGTGACTAACAAGTCCCTACCAAGGCGGCCAGTCAGTCAGGATAGAGTCCACCCATGTACCAACCTTGTGTTTAAAATATGGTCACTTCTGCCCTCCAGGTGTTGGCTAAGAAACCAAACTTGAGGCTTCAAAGGAGAGTCAATAAACCAAATGGGGGAAGTCATCTTGGCTACATCAGTGTCTTATATACTTGAATTGTTCTGTACTACGGCTGCATGGTGCTGCAGTGGTTAGCTATGTTTCCTCACAGTGAGAACAAATCCTGTTTGGACAGGAGCCTCTCTGTGTGGAGTCTTTCTCTCTGGGTTCTCCGGCTTCCTCCCACAGTCCAAAGACATGCTCGTTAGGTTAAAATTGTCTGTAGGTGTCTGCTCTAAATTGTCTGTAGGTGTGAATGTGAGTGTGTCTGATTGTCTGTCTCTATATGTCAGCTCTGTGATTGGCTGGTGAACAGTCCAGGGTGTAACCCCGCCTCTCGCCCAATGACAGCCGGGATCGGCTCCAGCCCAACGGGTAAAGCGGTAAAGATAATGGATGTTCTGTACTAGCAGAGCTTGACCACTTCAATATGTACGACACAAAGGTTTATCTTAGTAACAGAGTCTTATCAGCACATTTAAAGGTTCCACAACTATCAACATGGGAGACAGGAATAGAAAAGAAAACATTTCTCACGTTTCAAGTCCACCTCCTGATCAGAATCGTGTTGATCAAATCCACACTTCCACTTCTTAAAGTCGTTAGACTGAAGTTGTCTGATGATCACCCTGAGATTTTTATTTGTCCTGTCATGGTAAAGGTGAAATCTGTTTTGACTTTTCCAACTAGCTGTGAGATTACTTTCTATGACTGTTTCATCACCACACTTGACATAAACAGCCTCATAACTTGTATTAACATCTGGATATCTGCAGGTGAAGTCCACCCATCCACCACTGCATCCCATCATGTCGATGTCTTCAGATGAATCTTCAGATGAATCTTCAGATGTAGCTTCACAGCCTGCAGATCAGAGAGAAATGTTGAGTTCAGAATATGACACCACACGGGGCTGTGATCTGAATATGATCCAGACAGATGAAACTGATGCAGTAATAATCATTCCTATTATAAAAAAGTTTCCTGGTGATTTCTTAGAAGCATCAGGGTTTCTCGGAGGAAGTAATCAAGTTATCAGAAACAATCAGTAAATGTGTTGTCATGTCTGCTTTTCAGCTGGTTTTATTTCCTTGAAGAGGACATATTATCACCCTCCTCCACCTTTTCAAACAGTCCCCCTGTGGTGGATGGTACCCATGCAAACTGACTGGCTGCATGGACAATGGACTACCTCACCAACAGACCACAGTACGTGAGGCTTCAGGACTGTGAGTCTGACATGGTGGTCTGCAGTAAAGGGGCCCCGCAGGGGACAGCTCTCTCCCCTTTTCTCTTCACCCTGTACACCTCAGACTTTTTATGACACTGTGGTGGCGTCTGCACTTTTCTATGCAGTGGTCTGCTGGGGAGGAGGGAGCACAGAGAGAGACAGGAAGAGACTGAACAGACTGGTCAGGAGGGCCAGTTCTGTCTTGGACTGTCCTCTGGACTCTGTAGAGGAGGTGAGTGAGAGGAGGATGTTAGTGAAGCTGACATCCATCATGGACAACCCCTCTCACCCCCTGTAGACACTGTGGGGGCCCTGTGGGGGCCCTGTGCAGCTCCTTCAGCAGCAGACTCAGACACCCACCCTGCAAGACAGAGCGCTACCGCAGGTCGTTCATCCCATCTGCCGTCAGACTGTTTAATCAGACTGTTTAATGAGACTCTTTAACAACATCACCAACTCATGCTACACACTGTGTGTGTTTTTTTAATAACAATAACTCTTTCCAGTGTAGTTACTGTGTAATTTTCCATTATTGTATTTTTTTATTTAACTGATGCAAATATGTTTGATTTTTGATTTTTAACTTCTATTTGTATTTTTAATAAATATATTCCCATCCCCTGTTTTCTGGAGCTGCTGTAATGCACAAATTTCCCCCATGGGGGATCAATAAAGTTTATCTTTATCTTTATTGTAGCTAGGTTTTAAAAGTCACTTCCCTCTGTAGTGACTGTTTGTTCTATTTTATAAAAGCTACCTGAGGTCAATCTGCTTACATTCAAGGAAATATCACCAAATACAAAAAACATCAAAACAATATAAATCAGTCCTGACTGAGTGTTTTACTATGAGGCTCATTTGAATGGAAAGTGTACGATGAAATGTGTAGAAACATGATAAAAGGTTTTATAAAAGTTGTTTTTGTCGTCATCATCCCTTTACTATTAAGAGTATTTTTTGTGTGGCAAAACTTGTTCATACAGAGTAAAGACTTTGAAGAAGTCAAAGTCAGTCCTGGCAGATCTTCATCATCCTTTGTCCAAGGAGTTTAAGTCACTGCTGCCCGGCCACAGATTCAGCCCGCCAGCATGCAAGAGGCGAGAGACTGAGGAACTAATTTGTCCCGGCAGCCATTGTTTTTTTAAATGACTAATTAAATGTTCCTTCTTTATTTGATTTATTGTCCATTGGACTTTCTACGTCTAAGTGTCCTTCTAATGTTGTATAGTGGTTGCTGTATGTTTTGTTTTTTTTACTGCTGAAAGGAACAGAAATCTCCCTCTCACAGGGAGAATAAAGATCAGTAATTTCATGAGTGAAACGTTCGCAGTTCACATGAAAAGTGATTACAGAAAATGTTTCAACACATTTGCAGTGAGTGTGTAAAATGTATGTTTTGTATTTTGTATCAGTTAATAGAGTAATGTAGTTTTGTAGCATGGTGCTGAAGGATTTCTCTACATATTTATGGCACATTAACACATAAAATAAGCTTTGATTATAGTCTGTTTTAGAGATCAAAAGGTTTACCTGTCATCATTGCGACGAGGAGCAGGACAAAGATCTTCATCATGCTGCTTTCTGACTCCAGCTGCTTGTTTCAGGTTAGACACTTCACACTGCCTTACTCCTGCAGCTTTGGTGGCAGTGTATGAATGGATTTGTGTTGTACTTACTCTCTGATGTATGTCGCTTTGGATAAAAGCGACTGCTGAGTGAATTGTAACATCGCAGGAAGAATCAATCTTTTTCCATAAACAAGCGAGACGCTAACAAAGCTTCAGAGAGAAAACAGGGAACTGAAACAAAAGTGTTGATGACTGAAAGTATGAGACGATACTGTAATGCTGTAATGATTATATAGTATTACATCACCACACTTTAACAGGCTTTATTAATAAACTGAGCTGCTGATGTAATGTCTGATGTTGTAACAATTCATATTTATTTTTATACCAAACATGGAGAACGAGAGCACTGTTGTGTTTGTGTTTTTCTGTAAACATGGAGATCAACTTCAAATCTGAATATAATTCCTTTTACACCTGATCTTAGGACATTTTTATGAGTAAGGCCTGTTGCATCTGTTTCAGGTGTGTCAGCATGTTTGATGGCTGTCAGGTGCACATTCAACCTGAAAACCGTGTGCAACGATTGGCTCCAGTTTTTGAAACGGTGCACGACTGGCTTGACGTGTATTTAGCTTTCAGTCACATGGTCGGCATGCAGGGCAAAAAGGGTGTAGGGAACTGGAGGCTGAATTGAATACTCCACAGGCTTTTTAAGTTGACTATCACTTCAAAACGATGTCCTGAAAACCACAGGAACCCAGAGATATTAAGATACACTGAGTTTTGGAAACTTGTGACCAGGCTCGTCTCCTTGTTGGTTAGAGCATCACATTCAACAACAACTGTCTTTAGATTACATAGACACAAAAAACTTGTTAAAGACGCAAGTGACAACTAAGACCAGTAACTGTGGGATGTCACATGACAAGTATTAATATCTAGCAGCAGCCACAGCACAGATGTGAAGGAAGTGAAACCCAGCAGAGACTGCACAAAAAAAGATGGCCTTGGCGTCTTTTGAAGCTATCAGTTTTTAAATTTAAATTAAGATATTTGATGGGCACAATGCATTGAAACATAAGCATTAACACAATTAATTCCCATTGTTTACTGGTACTTTTGAAAGACTAAAAAAAATAGCTCTTTAGCTTTATTTATTTTAAGAAAACACATTTTTCTGATAAATTACCCAAACATCTTTTAATCCACACATTACAATTTTTTTGTACACTCACATTCATACATACCCTGTCCAGTTTTTTCACTGTGGATCCAATAGTCTTCACTGGTAATGATACATGACATGACCACAAAAAAATCATTTTTCATATCTCAGATGTCTTTCAAACATATCTTAATCCTGTCAATAATCTGGAATAAACAGGTTTGTGACATGAAAACACAGTTCATATGATGACAAAAAAAATGCTCAAACATTAAATAATAACCTACTCATATGTCCTTCAATTCCTTTGATCTATTTAATATGTGTGACCTGTAGTAGTCCCACATATAAAAAATGAATTTTAAGTTTTTGAATAAGATTTTTTGCACATTGACTTCTCTAAGAACTTTATTTTTATGTTAACGTCCCTCAAATGCATTGTGATTCAATCAGCCGTCAAATGAATGGATGGTAGTAATAAGATATTTCAATTTATTCAATTGTCTTTCTGTGTGATGTGTGTAGTTGTCATTCTTAGAGATAAAGTCAGCAGCTTTTTCCAAAATAAAATAAAAAACAGACTTATCCTAAGTAAAGCTGCTCCATTGTCCCTTCTGGGCCTCGAATCATGTGTGGTGGGGACTGTGTCTGCAGAGACTCTGTCCTCTGTCTGGATTTTCATGGTTTGGTTTGTTTGGTTGGCACGGGACTTTTCTGGGCAGGGAGCTGTTTTTTTTTCCTCTAGCCCACACAGGTGAGTTTTGGAGTGGATACAATTCAGCGATTTGATGGAATTTGAACCGGCGAATATGGCAGATGCAGCGGCAAAGCAGAAAAAAAAAATCATAGTGAGGCAAAATGCCACGCTACTAAAGCTCGTTCTAAAACATGGGTGAAACCTGTTGTCTGTCAGAAGGAGTTGGTCTGCTTTCTGTTTGCCAAAAACACCAATGGTTAGCTTGTGCTAGCGTGCGGTAGCTTGCAGTGTAGCTACATGCAGTAAATGTAAACACTACGTCCTTCAGTGAGTGTGAGCTTCTGGGGATGTTGAGCCCAGGAGGAGGGGCCACGTTTGAATGTGTGTTTGCAAGCTGTAAAAAATATTGCTACTGACTACCTTTAAATAATGTTAAAATAATTAATTTGTAAATATTTAATGAGAAAAGCGATATAGATAAAACCATCCTTGATGTTGTTATGTGTATTATTGACCTCCTTTGTTGGCTTTTTGTAGAGGTTAGTGGAATGTGCAAATTTATCCTGAAGCAATGATGGCTGTCATTAAGAAACATGTATGTATGTCTGTATGTAATACACAGCACCTGTGTTTGTATTTTATAAACTCCCTCTAAGGCTTGTGGCCAAAGTCCCATGTGAACAAACCATTTGGTCATACTTCTGTTAGTAGCAGTGTTGAACACCCTTAAATTCTTCCAGAAAACCCTTTCAGGGTTGATAGGGTTGCTGATTTGGCATACGTTAATGGAGAGCTAAAGGTTTGTACAATCATTATAATGGAAAACATAATAATGGAAAGTTCCAAGACTTCTATGCCATCATCAAAACAAGAGGGTTGTGCCATCGTAATACTGGACGACTCTTGGGCAGAAGGTCTTTCCATTATGACACTTGATGGTCTGGGGACAAAGGGCCATACCATCAAATACTTGACAGTCCTTAGAATGAGGGTCAAGCAAACAGGATTCTCATGGTCCAAGAGTAATGGATCATACCATTACAATCATGATCCCGGATGCTCCAAGCGCAGAAATGTTTACCATAATAATACTGAACATTCCTCAGGCTGAAGGTCATAATCTTATGATACAGACAGATAAAGATTGAGGGTCTTTCCGTCATGTCACTGGACAATCCTTAGAAATGTTGTACCATCATGACACTGGCGAGTACTAATGCAGTCCTTGTACTGTACTCAGTCTGAGTTTCATACTTTTAAGATACCATCAGTTCAAAGGCTGAAGGTTATGTCCTTAAGATGCTGTACAGTCAAAGGTCATGGTTGATTTAATAATGTAACAAGACCAAGTGCCAAGGCAGCATGTCATACAATCATGTTACAGGACAGTCTTAAGGCTGTGGGTTGCAACCTTTTTGAAATCAGATGGTCCTGGTGCAGAGGCTTATGCAATCAAGACACTAGTTCACCTAAAGCTGAGGACTTAATATCCCAGTACTAGGTGATCCTTAGGCAGAACTTTGTACCACAATGGTAATAGATGGTCCTAGGGCAAGGGTCATCCATAGATTGTCCAATCTTGGGGGGTTGTGTCATCATGATGTTGGATTGTCCTAGTGCAGAAGGGCCATACCATCATGATACTGGACATACCTTGGGCTGAAGGTCATGCCCTTTGATACAGGAAAATCAAAGGCTTAGGGTCACTCCATCATGTTAGGGAGAAAGTGGTACCATCATGATTCCAAACCGTCCTAAGCTTTACAGTAGTGTTACCATTGTACTGGTCAGCCATTTCTTCAATCCTTAGTTAGGGAGCAGTACCATCAATAAACTAGATGTTCCTAGGGCAGAGGGTCGCACCATCATGATACTGGACAGTCCCAAGGCTGAGGGTCATACCGTCATAATACAGGATTGTCATGAGGCAGAGGAGCCCATAATTATGATACTGGTAGAACCTATGGCAAAATCGTACCATTACCATACTGGACAGTCATGAGCCAGAAGGTCATACCAGCTTGATACTGGACAATCCTATGGTCGTACTAACATAAAACTGGACGGTCCCAGAGCAGAGGATACCAGCTTTGTGATAGTGGATGGTCCTAGGGACGAAAGTCTTACAAAATGATACTGGACTGTCCTAGGGAGGAGTATCGTACCATCTTCATACTTGTGGGCCTTAGGAATCGGGTCGTACCATCATGAAACTAGACAGTCCTCAGGATCAAAGGTTCTACTGTCATGTGTAAAGAAAGATGTTGTTAGAAGTCATATGGTCGAATCATCATGGAGGTGGAGCGCAGGGAGTAGCTGGGTCCTCTGAAGTGGTGCCACTTGATGCCATTCAGCTTCCTGATGTTGTGACCAACAGTGTAGTAAATACCGTTCAGGTTGGAGAAACCACAGGCATCGAACCACCAACCTAATGGAGAGAGGAAGAGAGGGAGGGTGCACAGAAGAGAATCAGCTGTGTGTTACGAAGGGGGAGGAAGAAGAAGGGAGGAATTTATGTAGAGTGCGGTGGGAAACACAAGAGAGAAAGGAAATGGGTAAAGCTGAAAGGAAGAAAAAGAGAGGAAATAGGGCAGGGAAGAGCAAGAAGAGGCAGAATAAGAGAGATGGAAGAACAGAAATGTTGAGACAATGAAGAAATTAGCTTGGAAAAAGCAAAACGTGCAGTAAGGGGGAAAGTATTGGAAATGTGAGTATGAAAGGTGATGCATAAGGGATTTTCCATTTAATTCCTCATGATTGGCAAGCTTGGGTGCAATTTCCATTATAAGATTTGAGGAAATATTGTGTGTGACTGTGTGTTGGTTTTCAGTATGACACACCCTCACTAGTAGTGTCTCATTCTCTCCCCTTACCTTTTCGGTTATTCCCTTCTCTTCCATTCCTATGATTTGTTGTGATTTAAAATTATTCACTGACTAATGGTGACCTCTGGGGTATTTTCCTCAGAGTGCATCGAGTTATTGCCAGAACGCGTAAGTTAATCATGGATCGCAGCCCATCAAGAGGAGAGCAACTAAAGAGCAGCTTGTTTTGGCACTGACGGTTGACAGGAGCTGAGAGTTAAAAGATTCCTGCTTCTGAGGAAATACCACTTATTTAGACGCTGATAAAACAACATTTTTATAATTGTAATCATCAAGTATTTTCTTATTTATTATGTATGACAAAGATATCTTATCTAATGACTATTTAATAGAGTTTATCATAGGGTCAATCCTATGAAATCCAATGTGAAAAATATTTTTGAAAATGTGTTATCTCTCCAGAAAAAATACATTTTCTCATGAACCGTTTTTTATGAAATATTTTTCTTAGATGATGAGGGAACAAATCCCAGCAAGACAAGATGAAGAGGCAAGAAAGAGAGATACAAATTACCTCCAGTGAGCATCAGGGCACACTTGCAGTGGTCACAGTTATCGTTGTCTTGGTCTCGGGTGCTGAAGCTGATCCCATTGGTTGCCAGGCTGCTCTGCCTCCCTGCTGTGCCACTGTAACCTCTCAGATACAACCTAAGCAAGA